AATTGCGTACGTTGATCATAATGTTGTGGTAACAACATTTACCATAGCCATGAAAACAAACTTTTCTAGAAACGACTCCTTCATCAACTGTTGGATGTGCTCCGTCCATCCACCCCGGCAAGTCCGTTCCACATCTATGGTGCGGTAGACAGTGAGTAGGTATACTCGTTCCAGCCCCCGCTGAGAATCTGTACCAGTCTTCTGTCAAATGGTTGTCACATTTTCTGTCACCACGACCAAAATCGCTGTGTCGATCGGAGTCATTCAGAATCTTTTGCTGATTGCATTCTGAGGGAACTAAAAATGAAAATGTATTGGAATACTCAACCATATGGCTTTATCAAAGGCGAAATGTTCTGATATATTATAAAAGATGGTGGAGGCGAGGACATTGGCAAAGAAAACATTTTTTTTTTTGGGGGGGGGGGGGTGACGGGAATTTGAAAAATGATGGATTTATATTTCCTCATATTCAGAGTCGCTCAAAACCTTATACTGATGACGTTCTGAGATACTTGAACATTACAGGTCCTTCGAAACATTCATGCACCTGATGATATAACGAGAGTAAAAATTTAAACAACTGTCTCGGAGAATAATTGTTCCAAAAGACAACAACAGTGAAGACAACAATATATCTGTTATTCCATTACTGCATCAATGAATCAAATAAATTCAAGAGGACCTGCAAAAAATATGCCACGATAATAAATGGTATTATACTGTAGAACAGGGCAAAAATACAGAGCAACACAGGTTGATTTTTTCTTTCTTGCGTTTGTTAGGCTTGACTTGTAAAGAAGAACTTTTACGCGCGACAGAGTTTTTAGTTGGTCACATAAAACACTCAAATGGTTTCGTTCGTGTTGTTTCGTCATTCGTGTACTCCTTATGCAATCGATATGATGCACAGATAAGGCCGTACGATATATTTGAAAATCGAATGAGTGAAATAATAGTGGGATAATAAATCCCTTATTCGATGGTTTAACAAATAACACGAGAGGACATTTTTCTCATTTCTCGTATTTTTCTACACAACTTCTACGTAAAATACCACACAAGTCGCAAAAACGACGGGCCGTCCTCGTCTCCAATGCAATGAGGAGAACGCACACGAAAGTAATTAACAGTAAACAGCCGTTACGAGCATATTGTCGGCTCTAAATTTTAATCCCAGAATTCCCTTGTTTCAACTACATGCATGACGTAATGTGACGATAGTGTCACACGACACTACAATCTTTAATTTACCTGGAGATGGACAGATGCTCCGTTTACGACTGAAACCGAAGCATCTGTTTCCACCTGTCCACACTAAAAAGGAGCGTTTTAAAACGATGCGTTTTCAAAAGACTCCACTTTTGAAACCGCTTTCGAAATTTCCCGTTTGTATCAAGGTATTCGGGCGTTTAAGTATGGATGACCGGCGAAAATACATCAAGAAGTATGCGTTTTCAAACAAAAACGCAGTAGTGTGACAAGGGCCTAAATTTACCATGGTCTGTCTAATTATATGAAATAGTTATTTGTGCAAACTGAAAATGTGAGTTACCGTATTGACATAGAGGTCCAGTGAGGCCTGCAGCACAAGGAAGGTGATGTCTCTGACGGAAAAATACAAATATCACAAACAAAATATGATCTTCCCACCAGCTGGACAAATTTGTGTTTCCGAAGTGAAACCCTGATAAAGTAAAAACATGTAAAGGTTACGGTTTTTAAATTTGGACTAAAACACGTGAAGAGAAACCAAGTTTAAAGGTTTAATGGTTGAACGGGACAGACTTAGAATTCTTAGTAAACCGTCACATACCCCCCCCCCCCCAAAAAAAAACAATATCCAAAAAATCCCCAGTCCGTCAAGTATTCACGGCAGCCATTTCCAGCAGCATTACAAAAATTGATAAAAGGAAAACTTTCCAGCTTCTTACACGTTGTGCAAGACGTAAATTAAAGACCTATGTACCTTCACGAGCAAAGAGAATGTCACCCCTTTTTCATCATCAAGGTTTGTATTCTGATCGACGTATCCATGTTTGTTTGGTTCACAAATTCCTTTCTTGTTCACCTCGGATAGCTCTCTGAAGTTTGTTGAAGTACACCAGGAGTTCCCGAGGCACCAGTGATTGCATGACATAAAACTGGGCGATTGAAACTGCTTAACGACATGACCATTAAGCCGAGTATTTTCTCGCGTTTTAAAGAGAGCCGAATTAGTACAAGTGGCGTGTTCTGTAAACATTATTCCTTGAACAATGATAAAAAAGGCAATTTTCCTTCCACCCATTACTCGACAAAACATGCGCAAAGTGAATCGTGACTTAGAGGGAAATCATGAGGGGACGCAAATCGTCTGTACTGTAAGTATCCCGGAGAGTCCCCTACATTTTCTTAGACTTTTAGTCTAAGAAAATGTATGGGGACTGTAAGGTGTCATAATCCTGTTGCTGCTGACATCGATGTGACAGATAATTGCTTTTACACTGTTTTCTTTGCCGGCTTATACTTGTCATCAAGTTTCAATAAGACGGCTATCATTTTTCACAAGAATAATGAAGTTTTCGTAAATTGTGAGATCGGATGGGATTAAAATGGGATTAAATCACTACAGAGCTTGATATGTACTTACAGTGCAGACGATTTGCGTCCCCTCATGCAAGCATCCTTTTCGTCCTTCACTAGGCAAAACTCAACATATCAAACTCAAAACAAACTTTATTTCCAAAGCGAACAACAATGTCGTCAGCATGCTCTATA